GGGCTGTCCACCATGTCTCCTTCTATCATTACGCACTTGACCTCATCCTAGACCCTGGAAACACAGAACAGCGCTCGGCTAACGGCGGAGCAGCAACGTCTTGTGGAGTCCTCAGCGGAAACTCTTTACGGTCTTATTCACGCCCGCTTCATCACGACGCAACGCGGGCTTAAACTTATGGAGGAGAAATTTGCCGAAGGGGAATTTGGCCGATGCCCCCGCGTTTTCTGCGGCGGGCAGGCGGTATTGCCGGTGGGGCAGAGTGACGTTGTGCGTGAGAGCTCCGTCAAGTTGTACTGCCCAAAATGTCAAGACATTTATTACCCGCGCTCCTCACGTCACCGCACACTCGACGGTGCGTTTTGGGGGACGACGTTTCCGCACCTCTTTCTTATGCACCTGCGCGAGAATGGCAAGGTGATTTCGAAGCCGAAGCAGCACTACGTGCCGCGCATCTACGGCTTCCGCCTGCGTGAGAAAGGGGACGCCAAGGAGGAGCATGACGATCAGCAGATAGCAGCAAGGGTAGAGACGGAAGAGACGGAGGAGAGAGCGGCGGAGGTTTCTGTCGGGGAGAGCAACACACCGGCAAACACCCCCAATAATTCGCGCCTGGCGCGTGACTGCTTTAGAGACCCGAATGGTGAACGTGCCGAGGCACCTCAACGATGAGTAAAAATTCCACAACAACGAAAAGAAGGATTCCCTCCTTTGGAAAAAGAAAAGAAGAAAAGAACTGAAGGCAACGAAAGAAGCAGGCGAAAAAGAACGATCAGGAGGTACGAGGGAATTGAACGGAAAAGAGAAAAAAGAAATGAAAGGGTAGGTGAAGAAGATGAAGAGGTTGGTCCCCAAACACACTCAAATACGCACATCCGTGGCATTATATTCATGTCCGTCATGCAAATCTGACACGCCGTCTGGGAAACAAGCTCTGTTTTTTTTTTTTTTTTTTTCTTCCCCCCTTTGGCTTTAAAGGAGTGGTTGAGTGGGGCTTTAAGGTCGGAGAGAAGAAGGGAGGGAAAGTGAAGGAATGGGGCAAAGAAATAGAAGAATAGACGAATGATTTTATTTTGAATGAATTAGGTGGGAAGGAAGAAGCATGTATATAAGTATGCATACTTATATAAGAGGATGCGTATGGAGGAATAAATATGAAGAGAAATACTTAGAGGGGAAGGGAAGCCTTTTTTCTTTTTTCCTTTTTTTTTTTTTTTTTTTTTGCACTGTGCAGTATTGCTCTGTTTTTCCCTCGGTGTGTCTGTGTGTGTGGTGGTGTGGCTGTGTGGCTTCTCTTCGGTTTTCATTTCTTTTATCTTCCCGAGTGCATGTATATTATTATTATTATTATTATTATTATTGTCATTGTCACTATTATTATACATATGCATGCATACATTTTTTTTTTGCTGTTGGACGTATTTTTCCTGTTGCTGTTTCTGCTACCAAAAACGCATAACATATATATATATATATATACATATATATATTTGTTATTATTGTTATTTTTATTATTACTGCTATCATGTGTGTTATTGAACGGCTTGAACGCAGCACCCAGCGTTTACACTCGTGAATTCATTTATTTTCCTTTTTTTTTTTTTTTTTTTTTGCTCTTGCGCGGTGTATCTTTTTTATTTTATTTTTGGTGCGTGGTAGGTTGCGACGGATGGAGACCTCATTGGTGGGGGCGGGGGACGGCATGTCTGATTTGAAGAAAGCTCCCGCAAAGAGGCGGCGGCATTGTAGCCCGAAGATGCATGAGCACGACCACCCCACGCATGGAGCCGATGAGAAACAGGAGACAAGGGGGCTGGGCATGGCGGTGGAGGAGCCGTTGCTCAAAGGACCGCGGACGGAAGCCAAGAAACATTCGAATTTTGTGGAGCTTCGCCGTACACTGGTGGATGCCGCTGCAGTGGCCGCTTTCATTCAGGAGCACCACGATACAAAGCTGCGGGAAGTAAAGCAGGTGAATAGTTTTTTTCAGGCTCTTAGCAAATGCACAGAAGACCTTTTTACCCTTCTTTGTCAACAACACAGGCACCAAGTACACCTCGCATTGGAACGAATGTTTGAGTTATACGCGACGGGAAGGGTTAAAATATTACCCGCAGCACACGAGTTTATGATTCGTTGCGAACAGAATGGCGTAAGAAGGATGGAATGGGCCGCTGGACTCGAATCTGAAGTTCATACGACGGATTCTGCCGCTGTCTCTACAAACGTGAGTACTCCCACGGGCACTGAAGCAGTGCAGAAGCAAAAACAGCAGGTGCCACTGCCGCTGTTGTTGTCTCCTCGAGAGCTTTTGAAAAAACTTGCCGTTATTGATCCGCACGGGAGGCTGGAGCGAATGATAGAAATGAGCTCCACCCTCGGCGACATCCACACATGTGCGCGGAGACTCTGCAAGGCAATAGAGAGTGAGAAGGGATTGGAGTATGCGACAAAGTGTCAATTGATCAGCAAAATTGCTTCAAAAGCCCGTCGGATTTCTGCGACGGTATTAATTCCAGAGCCACCACATCTCTCTAGCGATGATTTAGCGACACTGAGTGGCACGATAGATATTCTGCTTTCTCTGACGCAGCGTGCCTTGGCAACGCGACCTTCCTTTACGTCGCAACAGCCAATTTCGAAGTTGACACACTTTGCCAAGTGGTGCGATGGATATGGACTTCTTGGAAAGAGCCAAGTTGAGTCCGTTGCGGCTCTTGAGGCGCAGGCGACGCGTGACTTGGGATCACAGGCAACTCAACTGGAGACAGTGATGATGCTGAAAGCGCTTCCATCTGGCGATGAGGCGGCGTTAAGAACGGCTCTTGATAACATATGGAATGAAAAGGAGGGTCATTTTGAGCCCTACAGTGCAGATGTGTTGTCGTCTATTGCGGTTTTGGCTGGTGCGCATGGCATTTCGGACGCGTTTCGGGCGCAAGTTGCGGGAAGACTGATGAAGACGCAGCAAGAGCGGCTGAGTCAGAGCGGTGCTGATCTTCCACGACGGGCGCTGAGATTTGTGAACGCCGAACAATCGAAGGAAAAGCAGGAGTCCATCAAGCGAATGCTTGCCGCCGAGGAGGATAAGAGGAGGAAGGCACAGTGGAGGTAAAGTTCTTGGTGTGCACGTTTACAGCATGACTTTTCACGGGAAACGTGATAGTGATCATCATCTTCATCTCCAATTGTGCGGGGATACGCGGTTAAACGGCGACGTTTTGTGAGAAGAAACAAAATAATAATAATAAGAAGAGAGGGAGAGAGAGAAAGAGATGACAGGGCACTGAGGTGTGTGTGTGTGTGTGCACAGCAACCTGCCTTTGTGGTTGGTGAATTTTTTTTCTTTTGATTATCTGATGGGGGGAAAGGAAAATTGATGAAGATGCATTTTTTCTTTTTTTTTCTCTTTTTGTCTTGTCATGATTGCCCCCTTGCGTTTAGGGAAAAGTCGAGTGGTGTACATTTTATTTTTGTTCTTGTTGGAGGTTGCCGTCGGGTCATCGATGATCAACTTGGAGAAACTGAACACCGGCATCACGCGACTGGTGAGCGTGAAAAAGTACCCGGTCACACGGCCTCAGAATGTGCCACGGAGGACAAAGGGGCGCGTTTTTCGTTTAGGTGTACTACATAGCAAAGAGATGACAGAGGCGATGTTACTGCGTAACAGACGTGGATTTGTGAACAGCCAAGTGAACACGGTTGCCCACGCCCCCTCCATTTATCACTGGCTTTTCCACCGCTGTGGTGTTCCTTTTGAGGAGACGCAGGAGTTGGCCAACTCAGGCGGACTAACAGTTAACGGCAAGACAGTCGATCGCTCGGGATTGGAATCACAGATGGAGTGGGTCGAGTTGCAGAAATTAGATATTCGCATCCGGGTAGAGGCATCCACGGCGGATCGGACATCCGGCTTCACAATAGACAACAACAGCAAGAGCACAAACAACGATGGCCGAAAGGGAGATAGTAACGGCTTGCCAGCTGTAATGTGGGTGCCTGCATTAAAACGGGCGTTGCATCGGCAGTACTTTTTTGTTTATCTGCAACCGGGCATATCTATCACCTCCGATCAAACCGACCCGCGTTCTTTTGTGCATCGCCTCACGCCGCTTGTTGGCAGTGTTGCGGGTATCGGCATGAATATTCTCCGACCAATTGGTTTCATGAATGGAATGAAAGGGTTTGGTTTGGCGACAAACGATGTGTCGATGGTACGGTATTGGAACAATGAATTTCTGGGAAATTTTGGCGTCTACGATGTTCGTTTTGCTCGCGGTGTGCCTTCGGAAGTTCTCCGGAGGCTCGCGGAAGAGGTCCAACAGTTGCTGAATGATGGCATTCGGAAACAGCTGTCGAAAGATGTCATAGTGCCTTGTGAATGTACTCTGGAGCCCACGTCAGCATATAAAAAACAGCACCATAAGCATAAGGGTGACTTTGTGGCTGGACTCTATTCCAAACCCCTTCACGACGAACGGTTGATCATACGTAGCCCGCTCCTGCCGTATCGTGTGGCACGCAAGATACGTCGTGCTGGTGGCTTCATTACAATGGTGCGTTCTGGTCCATTTTCGCTGCCGCCATCGCTCCCTCAAACGAAGCAACGCCCTTTGTTACCCCAGGAGCTGGCATTGATGTTCACATTTGAGCGCAAACTCAAGACAAACCGCGTCGTGCTTAGCTTACGTGAGTTTGAGGCGGATAATGATCTTGACGGCATTGAACCGGAAGTCATTTTACCCTCTGCGTGAGAGCAATTCGGCACAGTTGGTTCCATTTGGATTTAATTTCACAGACGTTACATTTATTTTGAATTGACGGGAAAACACGCATACGGAGAGAAGCACAGTGGACACACTTTGGGTGAGAGAAAGTCAGTGTGGGTGTAAGTGTGCATACCTGCGTTTTTTTTTTTTTTTAAACGATATGTATGTATTTCTTTTTATTATCTATTATTATTCTAGGGACTCGTGAAGAGAATGATCGCGGGAAAGCTGGCTGCCTTAATTAATATAAATATCCTGACACAACGAATACATTTCTTTACGACGCTTTTCTACCGTATGATTTTTGGCAAGAAAACGGCTTTAGGGGAGCAAAAAACCGATAGCGGCAAGATATCTTATATATATATATATCCTATTTGTGTAGAGCGCAGTATGTCATGAAAGTGGCTAACAGAATATATATTTCATCAGAAGAAAACGCTTGGGCATTTAACTGCCTTCAGTTACATTCTCTTCCCCATCTTGATTTTGGTTTCTATAGGGAATTTCAGGATCCGGCCAGCGGGACAGATGATTATTCTTGGTGATATGCGGGGCAACGGTGTGTTGGCGTGTGCGAGCTGCTCATGGCTGCTGGTGTTGTCTTTCCTGCTGTTCCCCCGCTCAGCTCCTTTGCGTGCGACGGACCAAACGTTTTTACGGGCGTGTGGTGGGGCCGCGTTCTTGTTTGAAAAAAAAAGCCTTCCACAGACATAATGATACTGCTGTCCGTGCCACACGAGGCGGTGGGGAAGATCCTGGAATTTATTTGCGGGGCGGCACCGCACCCATGCCGTGTGGTTGATTTGTATTCCGCAATGCACGGTGAGGGGGATGTGCGGTGACAACTTCCTCCAGTGAGGCGGCACGAGCAGCACGGGGAGCGGAACGGAGGAGTGGTGGCTGCGTGCTCCCAAGTGATATGTGAATGGCGAATGCAATATGAAAGGCAGCGTCACGGCTCTTTTTTGCCATGCACACCGCAGATATTTTCCATAAAGCGTGCAAACTGCATTTTTTGTTGTGTGGGAACTTACCGTGATGCATCGCCGTTGTGGAGTTTACGATTTGGGGTTCTTGCGTGTGGCCGTTGCTGCAGCGAATTTCCTTCCCACTTGTGTCTGTGTGTGTTTGTGCTAGGGTTTATGCGCGCATTTCCTCTTGCAGTGTGTGTGCTGTGACGGCGGTGCCACACGTGTGCGGGACCGTGGAGAGCGGAATGCGTGGGCGAACCCTCCGCGCCCACCACGTTGTTGTTGGCTCTCACCGACACTGTGCTGGGTGGATGGTATCCACGGGCCGTCTTTGTGGCGGTCCTCGTGCATGTGGTGTGCATCGCACATTGTGTGGATGGTTTTTTTGTTGCGGGTGCCAGTAATTTCTGTGCGTAATTTCCTTCATTCTTATTCCTCTCCCTTTTCATTGTTTGTCAGTATTCAGCTTTAACGCGATCCAACCAAGAAAACGAGGAGAAACAATGCCTGGTGGGCACAATAGAGTGCAAGGTGGCAGTGTGGAGACCCAAGCGTCTACTGTGCCGCAGGGAGATGGCCAGAGGAGAGCGAGGCCGGAGTCGGAGGGTGTCACAGGTCAACCCGCTGCGACCCGCAGAAGAGCGAAGAGGGCGCGACGACCAGAGTGGACCATGAGCAGCACCGTAAGGGACATCCTGCTGGAGGGAAGCACCGGAATGGCCAAAATGAAGCTCAATGATTTTCTTCGGAATTATGTTGGCGGTGGGGCAGCCGTTGATGAAGACCACAATGTTACGATGGAGGTGTTTGTCCAGGAGCCGGATGATTACGTACAAGACCAGCAGATTTTTGATGAGATCCATAACTTAACAGAGTACCAAGTGCTAGAAGGGAGGGGAGTACTATTGGAGGCTACTACTAATCTTGAAGGAGAAGGCGTGTTCATTCTTGAAGAATGGAGGGACTTTGGAAGAAAGGATACGGTCACTCTTCTTGCAAGGGAAAAGCTAGACGAAGTTCTCACCCAGGTACTGAAAGAAAAAATGCTTGAGGCAAGCGGAAAAGCATGGGAACAACGAGAACTAGAATTTAACGTTACCACTAATATCGAAGATGTGCTGTTTAACGGCAGTCCTCGCTTCACGGAAATAAAGCTGAATGATTTTCTCGCGTTTGAATTGTACGGTCGGGGCATTTTGCGCGCCAATCGGAATGTCTTGTTGAAGGAGTTTTTCAGGGAACCCTCGAAGTATATCTGTGATGCGGGAGTATTGGTCGAAATACAGATAAACGATGCTTATGTGAGGATGGATATTGCCGTATGGAATGAAATGGTTTTTGATGAGGATATACGCAAGCTTCACGAGAATGGTGTACACAAACTATTTGAGTGGTCAGAAGCTGCTGCGGAGGTAAAAGCAAGCGTTGAACGCATCACCAAACAGTTTTTGGATGCAGCCGTCATTGAATCGATGAGCCCAATGACGATGAGTGCGCCGATTAAACTGGAGGGGTTTTACGAGTCTGTGTACAATGCGAGGTGGAACCATGTGGTGGAAGCTTCCGACGGCGAGGGGACAGAAATGGAGGTGAGGGAGGGGGAACCACCGCAGCCATGGAAGTACAAGGCAGCTGGCTACACTCTCGAAAAGGATGTCGGTGCGGAGGGACCCGGTGCACCACGTCTCAGGCTGATGGTGCTCACCTCGGACCAGGGATGGCCGTACTCGTGGAAGGAGGAGGACTCCCTTCGTGACTGCCATGTGAACTGTGAGGCGGAGCGAGTGTGGAATATCGTCAAAAAGGATCTAACCAAATTGTTCAGCAGTCACGGTAAGAACAAACCTTCGTGTCATCCGCGTGTGTTGATTGGGACTTCCGGGATTGGGAAGTCGATGAATGCCGGTTCGTACCTCCTCTACCAGCTGCTGCACTACAATGCGGAGCAGCTCCCAATGGTTGCGTACTTTATTGGGAATCGAACATTTCTGTTTGACAAAATCGCAAAAACGGTGTCAGTGTACATGGGTGAGGCCAGTATCCTGAATATTGTGGGTGGCTTCGCTCGGCGTGGGTTTAAGGGGTATATTATCTACGACGTGGCATTGAAGGGTCATCAACCGTCTATTGGTTTGCCTTGCGAGGGATGGGGAATGATTGTGGTGACACCACCAGACAAAAACAACTACGAATGGTGGGCGAAGCAAATGGGGGCGGAAGAATTCATAATTAATTGTCCCGAGGAAAACGATGTGAAGGCAATGTGCTCTTGGATGAAGCGCAATCAGATTCCGCAGGAGCAAGCAGAATACTGGAAGGAGGTGAGGGGTCGCATGAATAACGTGGGACCAATTCTCCGCTCCATCTTTGGTAAACAGGCATATGATGACCGCATTAAGGCGTGTCAACAAGCCGTGGATGGGATGAACGCCTTGAAATTCGAGGGTTACTTGGATATTGGATATTGTTGTTTGTCCAATGACAGCGACTTGTCTCGAAAGCTTGTGAAGGTTGTCCGAATACGACGAGAATACAACATTGAGTCGCCTCTGAATGTACTGATATCTCCCCACGTCGAACGCGAAACATTGTCCCGGCTGGAGAGTGAAATGAAGCAGTCCGATTTTATTTTGCTTGTTTTGAGGTTCTGGGATTATGTCCCACCATATCTCATTAAAAAGTATGCCGTATCTGCATTTTTGAATAAGAATTTACTGCGTGCGATAAGACTTAGAATCAAGGAACTGAGGCTACCAGGACGAGGTGAGTCACACAGGTGTGCGCTGAAAGTGCACTCAGGCAAGAGCTTCACCAGAAAAGAGGTTCTACCGCCACCCGAACGCCTTTCCAATCCGGTTGCCATGGACCACTGGGTGCTGTATAAGCCTAAAGTCAAAAACTTTCCACTGGTGGACGCCTTTTTCTTTGTGGACACAAATCCGAAGACGCTGGTTGGGCTGCGGATGTCTACGGCAAGTAAGCACCGCACCACAACCAGCGCTGTGAGGCGGTTCACTGAGTGCCTGGCGGCATATTTTGAGGGTTGGGAGGAGTTATCCCGAGACCTGTCGTGGGAGATTATTTATGTGCAGCACGAGATATACAGGCCGATGGAGGGACGGCAGAAATTTGAGGTCGTCAATTCCGATAATTTGGGCGCCGATGAAAACCGAGAGATTGCGGCGTTCTGTAGGGAAAAGGTGCGCCAGTACCTAGCAGCACTATCATCCGCTGACGCCAGAAGAGGCGAAGCTCTCCGGAGGTGAGGAAGAACGAAATAGGAGAACGAATTAGGGAATGAAAGGGGTAGTTTTGATTTCTGGTAAAAAAAAATATTGTGGGATTTATTTTTGGATACTTGTGTGGCTACGGTGCGGGTGCACCCGCACCAGACGGCAGTATACCACACAGATTCCAAAAATGCCCAGCTCTATCGAACATAAAAGTGACCGAAGAAATTAGGGAGGGAGTGGGGTTGTTTGTTTTCTGGTAAGGAACATTGGATGATTTTCACACAGCATGTTAATTGTGTGTGCATAAGAGGCATAATCGTGGAATTGCCCCGGTATGAGAAAACCATTGTGGCTGGCGGTGCTATGGTGTTGCTGCACTTTCCATTTTATTCTATCGTGTTCCAAGACCCACCAATAACAGAAGCATATTTAAGGGATGAACAAAGTTGTATTGATGAAATGGTGCACCCCGTGTAACCGTACGGAGTGGGGCACCGCGTCATGGATGGATAAGGATCCGTTTCCACGTGTAACTGGAGTGGATGATTGTTCGCTCGCTGTGCGTTGTGTGTTGGCTGCGGGGCTGTGGCCGTATCCCGTTGGCCGCGAGACTGAACTGGAGGCGGCGGCGGTGTGTCCCTTTTCCTCGCCCATTGTGGGTGAATGCGGGAGGTGCGCGCGTTTTTTGTGTGGAGGGCCGAATCCTCCCACGCGCGGTCTGGCAGCAGTGCGATTTGTGTGTGTGTGTGTGTGTGTGTGTGTGAGGGCTGGTGTGGGCGATGGTGCTCCGCGCTGTTCCTTCCGGATTCTCTTGTGTCCCGCTCTCCGCGTGGGTACTCTGCTCTGCTCCCCACGGACGTGTCTGATGTATTGCCGCTTTTTTCTTTTTCCACATGTTGAACACAGACACACGCTAGGAAGGAAAGCAAACAAACGCGAAACGCTACTGTGAGATTCGAAGGCTCTGAAAGGACCAACAACAGCACACACACCGCCCACACACACATATTTACATGCTCTCACGTGCTGCTGTGATGGGACCCCGCACACACAACCGTCGCCGCATGACCGGATCCAGCGGAAGGAGGAGGGAAGGAGGAGAGAGTGAGCCGCAGAGGCCCAACATGTCCCGGCATGTGTTTGCTTCCGCGGTGCTGCTGCTCCTCGTCGTGATGATGATGTGCTGCGGCACCTGTGGAGCCGCGGCCGCTGGAGGGAATAATGGGAAGAGTGATTTAATAAATATTCATAAGCTGCAGGGAGTCGATCTATTTGTGCCGCAGACGACGCTGGTGCGGCCGAAAGAGGGGACTTCTCCAGAAACGAAGTTGGATTCCTTTGTTACACCCTCTCTCGTCAGTGCTGGTGGAGTAATTGCGGCTTTTGCCGAAGGTCACGAAAACGTCCGAAAAGGCAAAGGCCAATCAATCAGGCACTTTTACTCTGATGTTGTTGCGGGGTACATTGACTCTGCGTGGAACTGGACCACTCTTGTTGACAAGGTCAATCAAAGCTCATGGAGGGCACACACCGTGCCTACTGCAACGGAGGCAAACGAAAAAAGTTTGGATGGTATGCTTAACCCCACAACAATTGCGAAGGGCAACAAGGTGTTTCTTCTTTCGGAAAGCTTTCTTTGGTCCAATTTAAGCGGAGAAATTCATTGGGACAGATTGGACCTCAAACTGGTTGTGGGTACTGTCACGAATCTACGG